GGCCAAGGATCGTACGCACGACGAACAAACCTCTCACCGATTGATATCATGGCTATCCGTCGTCAAGTTACTCCCAAGTCGTTCGGGGGTGATGTCGACGAGAAGGAGGCGCCAATTGTTCTGGTTGATGGTTTAAACAAGTCAGAAGTGAAAAATGAGTATGCTCCTTTTGATTTTCTTGCAGCATCGTGTCAGTTTTATCCGAAAGAAAACGACAGCTCACGCACTGTGGTTTTGCCGGCGTGGCGTGATGCTGACCTGCTGCAGTACGCAAAGTTAACGAACTGGGTTATCGAAACTGGTCTGCGGCAGATTAAGCGGCAGGATACACCATTTTCAAAACTTGTTAAGGAGCAGTACTTCTATAGTGGCGGCAGTTTGCGCGAGTTCTGTAAAAAACGGAGCTCGCTTGAAGAGCGTTTAGTGAGAGACTGCTGTTTCGAAGGAAATGATCAAGCGTTCGAGTTGGTGTACAACTATGGTGGGGGACAAAGCAAGCGCCAAATGGATTGTTTGCGGCGTCACTACATCACTGACTGCAACCGAAAAGTGGCATACCATAATAGTCGATGGTGGAAGCTATCTGTGGATTCCGGATATGTGCTGAGCCAGTTGGGGCGAAAAATTAACACGGACAAGCAGCTAGAGGTTTACAAATATGCAAAATCTATTGGTGCGGGTTTCCATGGCGTCGCGTACGAATAATCGCTTCACAACGCAGTTCGTGGGGCATTTGAAAAATGTAAACCGGTTGTGCTGAAGATGCGGGAAGGGTCGAAATACGAAAAAATCGAGATCCGGGTGCCCAACGTCATTTGCAGCGGTGAAAATGAGGAATCGTGCTATCGTTGCCTGAGCACACTTGATAAAGATGGTTACTGGTACCCCGACTACCCGTTTTTCCCTTTTATCGACGCAGTGACAACGTGTGAAGCGTTCCCAAGTAAAGGTGGGTCTGGTGACGAGGGTCACAATCTGTCGACCAAGTCGTCTGAGACGATAGTGGCTTACATTCAGGTGACGATTCGAAGCGAGAAAACCTTCAAGGAAAAAAGATTGTGTCGGCTGAACGAAGAGCTGGATAAAAATTCTTTGCTGAAGAATATGAAGCGCGCCTTCGTGGTAGTAGGCCCCGACTCTGTAATCTGCGAGATGTTTGACCTCAAGGGTGCACCAGACACTAATACGTTTCTAACGATGATAAGCTGCTTTAATCCTGAACAGTTGGAGCGGAAGCTAAGCTAAGATGGCGCTTAATTAGTAAACTGCATTTAGTTTTGATGTTTCTGCAACGTTTGCATATATTTTTTTATTGGAACCTACAACTTCGAGGATTTGGTGGGCATTC